GATACACACGGATGCGATACACGGAAAGATACACATACAAAGATACACATTCAAAGATACACGGATGCGTCAACAGTATTATATACTATGACTGATTTGAGATTGATTTTCCAAGAAAGATCGGAAGTAAGAGTTAATCTTAGGAGACGAAGGGTAGATGACTCATCGTGTACATTAGCGTTCATAAAAATAGGAGGATCTAGATGGTTGCGTTAACAATTAGGTGGAAAAAAAAAATTTATCTGAGTTTAAGTTCACAAACCACTAAGAGCCCAATGCTGAAGCAGAAGTGATATCCTTTTCAAGCTCAAATGTCATTATCACGGATTTTTTAAAAATTCCCATTGGATTTATTACATTCCCAATGCTGCTGCAATTAGTGGACTCAAAAAAATCCATGATCAGATATATATCTTATTGTTGTTGCCATTTGCAAAACTTGTTATTTAAGACTTAAAATATTATTATTTAAAAAATAATGTTTACCAAACAATATACCCCACGCATGGCGAACTATACTGCAGGCCTTGCCAACGCGCAAAAAACGTATTTCACTGGGGGCCTATTTTAAACTGTACTTAACTATAATCGGCCGCAGTGGATAGCCTACCGAAAGTCGGTAGCGGAAAAATAAAAATTATCCTACCGAAAGTTTTTTTTTATTGGTTAAGAAATATCACGTGTCATAATAAAATTGCTATATAAATATATTTTTAAATTTCATTAGTTGTAATGATTAGTAGTTTATCGGATACCGCACGTATGCGTTCTGGGTTCGAATCCCTCCTAAGGAATATTTTTTTATAAATAATAAGAAATATTTCGATTGTTTTTTTCAATATTTTTTAGGTTTCATTACGCTTATTAATTGAATAAATTATTTAGGGATATACGCTGGGAATAGCACAATGCATTAATAGACGCAATGGAGTGTTTATGACTGAGTGTTCACTGACTGATTTAGGGATAGGCACCGAGGAATGTACATGCATTTACTAATTTAGTGATAGGCGCAGTGAAGTGTACATACATTTACTAGTTTAGGGATAGGCGCAGTGAAGGGCACATACGTTTACTAATATAGGGATAGGCGCTGTGTAGTGTACATGCATAGACTGAGAGTTTTGGTATGGGGTGGCAGTCATTTCTATTTATTTAATGGAAAATCCTATTTAATTTTTTTACATTTTTTACGTTTTTGTTTTTTAAAAATAATATCTTAAATTTTCGTCATTTTACGGTATAACAAATATAATATATTTTGACATGTGATATTGTCAACCAATAAAAAAAACTTTCGGTAGTGTAATTTTTATTTTTCCGCTACCGACTTTCGGTAGGCCATAATCGTCACTCTAGTGATATTGAAATATGGGTAAAAAGTGTTGTATTTATGGCTGTACCACAAATTATTTATTGGCTAAAAAGAAATCTGATAATTTAAAGATCTCAGTATATCGATTTCCTAAAAATGAAGATGAAAAACAAATGTGGATTAAAGTAATTCCAAATGCAAATCTAAAGGTAACTAATGACACTGTAGTTTGTGAGTTGCATTGGCCAATTTTATGATAAAAGGGTACAAAAAGTAGCACAATGGGATCACCTCAAAAAACTTTATGAACTTGAATATAAAAACTTAGTTAAATTGTCTAATTTAAATGAAGTTTCAATATTTCCGAAGCCAATCGAGAGGCAGTCAGTGTCTACCTGTTTAAGGATATTTTGTGACAAAACTTACCATGCTTTGATTAATCATCCAGGACTGCAGCATATAAAAGAAAGACAAGACACAGCAGATTTTATTAACATTGGTGGAAAGTTCTTAATGTTAAAGGAACAGGTGCAGATGTTAGGTTTAATGATGAACTTCAAGCAGTTATTAGAGATCCTAATGATAATAGATTAGAAAATATTTTAGATTTCAGAAATATGGCTTTAAAGATGACTGGAAAGCAAGGTAAAAGGAAGAAACAACTTACTTGTGACACTGCACAATCAATTTACCATACGACGTATGGTAAATTGATTGTGCAGTGTCACAAGTAAGTTGTTTCTTCCAAATATGGCTTTAAAGATTAACAAGTAAGTTAATCTTTAAAGCCATATTTTTGAAATCTAAAATATTTTCTAATCTATTATCATTAGGATCTCTAATAACTGCTTGAAGTTCATCATTAAACCTAACATCTGCACCTGTTCCTTTAACATTAAGAACTTTCCACCAATGTTAATAAAATCTGCTGTGTCTTGTCTTTCTTTTATATGCTGCAGTCCTGGATGATTAATCAAAGCATGGTAAGTTTTGTCACAAAATATCCTTAAACAGGTAGACACTGACTGCCTCTCGATTGGCTTCGGAAATATTGAAACTTCATTTAAATTAGACAATTTAACTAAGTTTTTATATTATATACATAATTCAACAACACCATTGCACGTATGATACGTGCAATGGTGTTGTTGAATTATGTCGTTCATTATTGAATAGCTCACACCAATATGTTATTCTTAGTGAGTTTTCTACTGATCCATTGGAAAAAGAGTTTAGCAAAGTGCGACAAGGTTCCGGAGGTACATATTTTATAACAGTACAGCAGGTAATTGGAAAACTGAATATTTCAAGAGCCAAGCTTTTACTATCTCTTAATAACCCAGCTGTTGACATATTTCTTGATACAACCCATTCTTGTCCAAATTGTGGTTTTTTATTGGATGAGTCCTCTGCTGAGATATTAGACAACCTGCCAAATCTTAAATCTTTTATTTCTTCTGATACAAATATGGCACTTACATACATATCAGGATATTTAACTCGTAAAGATAATAACTATCAGAAAATGAGCTGCTAGAAAAAACAACTTTCTACCGCCAAAAGTTTGGACAATACATAGACTCAATTGACCGTGGTGGACATAATATTACCACAGATAATACCTGTCAATGGGTAATTTTTTCTTTTATAATTTTTAATACGATTAAAGATAAAGTATGCAGAGTTTCATTGAGCAATATTCTAATGATGATATCAGAGTTTTACAACTTTGAGATGGATCGACATCACTGAAATATTCTTTCAAACATTTTTTTAAACAATTTATGTAAACTTTCAACTCCTCGTTCAAATAAAGAACCAGCTCAAAAAATATTAAAATTGTCATGAATTCTTATTATTGTATTCTTATCACAAATTTTTAATTGTAATTTTATGTATATGATTATTTAAGTGTGTAACTATATATATATATATATATATATATACATATATATATATATATATATATATATATATATATATATATATATATATATATATATATATATATATATATATATATATATATATATATATATATATATATATATATATATATATATATATATATATATATATATATATATATATATATATATATATATATATATATAATATATATATATATATATATATATATATATATATATATATATATATATATATATATATATATATACATATATATATATATTTATATATATATAAATATATATATATATGTATATATATACATATATATATATACTTTTTTGTTTTGTTTTTGCCGTTAAAATAAAATAGGCCCCCAGTCAACTAAGCTGTTTGCGCGATGGCAAGGCCTTCAGTATAGATCGCCGTGACCCCATGCAAAAAGCTCTGCAGCTAAACTTTTTTAGGGCTGCTTACCAGGTTTTGTATTACTAACCATATTTTTTTATACGATATTAGAGTTAGATTGCGGATATATTTATTTGCTAGTAAAAATTGTTTCTGAACGAGATCTTGGTCTACAAATTACAAATAATCTGAATTGGAAAGATCATTTAAAACTTGTTTCAACCAGAGAAAGTATCGTACTTGGGTCTCTAAGGCGGTCATTTAAAACAAGAAATATAGAAACAATTGTAATACTTAATTGTTCTTTTGTCCGCCCTCATTTAGAGTATGCGTTCTCAGTTTAGAATCCTTACCACCCATTAAACATCAAACTAATTGAAAAGGTCTAAAGACGTGCTACGAAGCTGATTCCTGAACTAAAGAACATGAGATAGCAAAAGAGAATAACAAAACTTGGTTTAATAACATAAAAGAAAGGCCCAATAGAGGTGATGCAATTCGATATTTTAAAATGATAACTAATTTCAACATTATCAAACAATATTACCTAAACACAATTGCAAGCTCAATCGATTTAGAAGGACCAGCAAGTGGAGTAAGGGGTTACTCTTGTTGTATTTCTAAGCAAGTAACTAAGAACTGTGCTCAAAAAAAAAATTTCTTTTTAAATAGAGTTACGCCTATCTATAATCAGCTACCGATAAAATTGTCAACGTCTCGTCAGTTAACTGCTTTATGACAATCCCTCAAAAGTGTAACGGCTGCTATAACCAAGCAAACTGGCTTACTTGAACTTACTTCTAGTACAGCCTAAACTTTATTATTATTATTATAGGTTCAAGCAATGATTACCTATTCGATGGAACTAAAATATGGCCTGTTGTTGTGTTGTTTGAAAGTGTAACTTCTAAACGATGATTATAGTTGTCCAATAGGCTCTATTGGATTGTGTTTTCACATACTGGCTTTTTTACTATACGTTTATATATTCTTTACCAATTAACTGTCCAAAATGATCATGATTCATTCCATCTGTTCAGAAAAGTTTTTGTTTTCATTTTAAATAACTTTTACACAAAGACAAAAAAATCAAATTGGTGTCCCATTTGTGCTATTAAAACTTAAGTTATTTTTATTTAATATGAGCCTTTATTGATGCATAAATGTTAGTAATTTTTTTTTAAATAAGTTTGGTTACTATAACAGGTAACGGAAAATAGGTGAAACCATTTAAAGTGTGTGTTATTTTCAAAATGAATTTTACTGATATCAACGTGCCTAAAGTTATGCTTTTATTCCAGTTAACATAAAAAAAATATTTGTTAATGATATGCTCGACTATATTGCAAATAAAAAAAAAAAATACTTTTGCAGTAGATACAAAGTTTTTTTTTTACTTATTAAAAACAGTAAATATTTATAAAATACATATTTATCTTTAAAATACAGTGTACTTGACGCGTTAAGTGTCATTAACAAAACAGTTTTTTGAAAACAAGCAATAAAAAGTTAAAAAACTAAAAGCTTCAAGCTTATATACATAAAAATTCAAAATTTCGATGGTAGCTCATGTTTTAGCCGAATTTCGCTAATGAAGAAAAGTATTTAAAACTTGACAGGTGAAAGCCATTCAAGATATTTACGGAACCAATCTAAATACAAAAAAATCAATTTAAAAATGTAAACACTGTTTAAAAAAAAAATCTCAGTAAAATTTAAAAAAAAAAAAGGGAAAAACAAAAACAAAAAAAATCAAAAACAAAATGCAAGAAAATTTAGTTATATATTGCTGACTTGATGATATAAATAATCCGTTTTTTTTCTCTTTCCGATTAAGATTGAATTACTAACCTGCATTCGTAGTTTCACATCTCTTACTTTCATCCATCATAAATGTCAATTTCATATCGAGATCTCTTCTCACTTGTTTAAAGACAATATACTGACTGCTCAACACGTCATACAAGTTCCACCAAGCTGGCTCAAGCTAACCAAATAAATTTACTCATATAAACATGATTATATAGATTTAAAGTTAACTATAGAAACTTAAACCTAAGAAAAACTATACTTTTAAAAATTAGAGAGGAATTTAACATAAATAAATTTATATACATATATATATATATATATATATATATATATATATATATATATATATATATATATATATATATATATATATATATATATATATATATATATATATATATATATATATATATATATATATATATATATATATAATTTATAAATATATATATATATATATATATATATATATATATATATATATATATATATATATATATATATATATATATATATATATATATATATATATATATATATATATACAGTATTGGACAAAACATTTACAACCAACATCGAACAATGCTAAAAAGTGTTCCTAATTTTACATGTCTTAAAAACGAAACGAACTATACTACCACAGCAAACAGTTCAGGAGTCTGGAGTCATAGCATGCCATCACATGAGCAATCAGCTGACAGGTGACAGCACACAGGCAAAATTTCGTCGACAAGTGCCATTTTGCAGCGCACAAAACAAGTGCAACTTTTTCGGTTTGTTTCATTTTCTTAAGTCTGGTCCGTGTCAACGTCACGGAAGTTTTTTAAAAATTAAAGGAAGTATCCATAAGTTTCCAGAAGCATGCAAAAGCCTTCAGAAGTTTCCAGAAGAAGCATCTGGAAGCATCCAGAAACATTCAGAAGCAACCAGACGCATCCAGAACCTTCTAGAAACATTGAAAAGAAGCATCTAGAATCTTCCAGAACAGGTTTACACAGATTTATTTTACTATATAAGAGACATGTAAACCGACATGTAATTCATGTATATGTATAAGTCAATCAGTCAGTATAATCAAGACAGTTTATCGAAGTGAGTTTTATCAAAGTGTTTTATCGAAAAACATCAATACAAGAAGTGAAATAAAACAAGTGTTTCATTACATCAATACAGTCCACATCCAACCAAAACGTTGTATTCTACAGAGCATTATTGAATCATCACAAGGTAAATTTAAAACAGTAAGCCTTTAGAAGCGTGATTATTTATTTTTATTATTTTTATGACTTCAAGTGCAAAAATGGCTCCCAACAGTCTTGGATGGAACTAAGAAAAAAAATTATTGGCGATTACATAAGTGAAATGTCACAAAAAAGTACTTGTGATAATTATTTCGTGAAAAAATGGACCATATCAAGACTATGTTCCAAATATCGTTCTACGGGGAAGTTGGCAGCAGATAACAAAGGTGGAAGACCACGTTCCACCACTTCTAGAGAGGATTCTATGATTGTCAGATCCGTCAATAAGGATCCCTGGATATCATCAGTCAAGATACAAAAGCAATTAGAGCTGCCTGTGTCGGACTAAACAATCAGACGACGTGCTGTTGAAGCCGGATTGTTTTCTCGATGCCCTGCAAAGAAACCACTGATTTCACTAAAGAACCAGAAGAATAGACTCCTGTTTGCTACATCTCATATTGACTGGAATGTGCAGAAATGGCGAATCGAAGTTCAACATCATTGGGAGCGATGGCATTTGCTGTGTACGTCGACCGGCTGGAAAACGCCTTGATTTACGTTACTGCCATAAGACCGTGAAGCATGGTGGAAGCAATGTAATGGTCTGGGGGTATTTTTGTGCTAACTGTCTAGGTCCAATACATCGAATTGATGGAATAATGGACCATTTCATATATATATATATATATATATATATATATATATATATATATATATATATATATATATATATATATATATATATATATATATATATATATATATATATATATATATATATATATATATATATATATATATATACTGTTCTTTTAAGATTTTTTTTTTTTAAAACTGTTCTTTCAAGATTTTTTTTTTCAAACAACTCAGGTTTAATTGGAAACTTACTGCTTCATAAGAGTTGCAATTAATGTAGTCGCGAACTTGTTGCATTGCATTCATTGAATTACTCATCATCTCGTCTGCTCTTTTTACGTATATTGTAATATTTGCTACAATGTCTCCAAGCATACCTTGGTCACATCCCGTAGCTAAAATATAAAATTGATTGTAAATTGTTTGTCTTTGTTATCTGTCTTAATAAAACTATTATATATTATAATTGTTAAAAAAAATACCTTTGCAGTATGCTTTTACATTTGCATCAGACCAGATATTCAAGAATTGCAGAGCTGTGGCTGGGTTTGCATCATTGACACCATAAAAGAATGTTATAGAGGGAACAGAGGTAGGATTTATTAAGTTGGTGCAATTACATGTTTTCCCAATAGAACATGTTTGAAAAGCTACATGTTAAAAAAAAAAAAAAACATTTATTGCGTAGATAAAAAATTAAAAGAAACAAAACTTATTTATTTTTCTATGATTAAATTTATATAAATATACTTGGACAACTGCGATCTCGCCCGGATGTTGATGCATTTACAAGATAATTTGGCTGGCATTCGCAAGAATAACCACCAATGCTATTGAGACAGTATGTATTTGCACCACGGCACCAACCAGATGTTAAACATTCATTTACATCTAAAAGGAATCATTTATAAATAGGTTTGGTTTAAAAATCAATCAATTAAAAATGTAAATATATATACATCTTTAATTGGTTGATTCCATATATATATATATATAAATATATATATCTATATATCTATATATATATATATATATATATCATATATATATATATATATATATATATATATATATATATATATATATATATATATATATATATATATATATATATATATATATATATATATATATATATATATATATATATATATATATATATATATATATATATAAAGAAAAAATAAACTTACCAGCACAGACACCATTGTTGCTGAAAAAATTGGGGTTGCATTGACATGAGGCTACATAAGCAGAATTAAGGGTGCAACTAGAGTACATTGGACAAGCAGCAAGTTCACATTTGCCTTAAAAAATTATAAAAACTTTTTGATTTTTGTATATATTAATACACATAATATATAAATGTAAATTAATTCCTATTAATTCCTTTTTTTTTAATTTCTTGCAAAAAAAAAAAAAAAAAAAGATAAAACAATAAAATGTGAGCATCAAATTAACCGATAGCAAAAATTAAAGTTGAAAATGTTAAACAGTCAAATTGACCAGTTAACTAAAATAATTTTTTTTTATAATTAATTTTTGTTTACTTTTCAAGCAACAGGTCACTGTTTTTTTGTGTTTTGATTTTATATAGATGATTATATAAATATGTATTAGCATAAACATATATAATATATATATATAATATATATATATATATATATATATATATATATATATATATATATATATATATATATATATATATATATATATATATATATATATATATATATATATATATATACACAATTAACATATTTCTTAATAAGTTAACTTTTGACTAGGCATGATTTCCTAATCTGTACTTTATAATAACATACTTTTACAACCAGTACTTCCAGGAGCACTTAAACCATCACCAGAATATTCTGGAGCACATGTACATTTTTCAAGTCCATTGACAACTGAGCATGTTGCAAAATTTGAACATAAACCATTTGTGACACATTTATCTGTAGAAAATATTAACTATAAATATAATTCCCTTGCATAATCTTAATAAATAATTTAATTATTATAATTAATTTCACTTCTTACAACATTTTAAAAGCTAAATAAAAAAAATCTTACTAAAAATATTTTATTTGAGTTTCAAGAAATTTCACAGCCCTTTTTTATATATTTTTTAAGTTTATAATTTTTTTAAGTCATAGGCCTAACAAATAAGTACAAAATAAATTGCAAAACAGATATCTGAACTTAAATTTAGTAAAATGCTTTATATGAATATATCAGAATAAAAAATATTAGATGATCAAACCTCCACAAACATATCCTTGTCTACATCTACAAACTGGCAAATTAAATTCAGTAACACAATCTGCATATGGACTGCATACAACTGATCCACAAAGATTAGATGCTTAAAAATCAGTGTAAACAATTACATATCTGTATAATATGTCATTTAAATGTATTTCACACATTATAAATGTCATTTAAATATAGAAGTATATTTCTTATATTAAAAACTTATATTTAAGTATTAAAACATAAAAATAAATATCTGTACAATATACATATATATATATATATATATATATATATATATATATATATATATATATATATATATATATATATATATATATATATATATATATATATATATATATATATATATATATATTACACACAAAATATAATATATGCATACATGGTGAGCATGTAATTCCATCACCAGTATAACCGTTCAAACAAGTACATTGTTGAACACCATTTACAGACACACATTGGGCATTTGTACCACAGGTTCTTCCAACTACACCACATCCAACTACAAATAAATAAATATATATATATGTGTGTGTGTGTGTGTGTGTGTGTGTGTGTGTGTGTGTGTGTGTGTGTGTGTGTGTGTGTGTGTGTGTGTGCATTGCAGAAACAAAGAAGACATATCTAAGTTTCATTTGCTTAGTAGTGACTGAATGCTGAATGTTTGTGTGTGTGTTTTAATAATATACAATTACAGAATTAAATTCAAAATATCAAATAAGCAAAATATGACACAAATGTTTTGCATTTTGTTTTATAAATTCTTTTTTTAAAGAAAATGCTTGTGCTAAACTATAAGTATTGTATATTTTTATTATGTATATTATTACTCTTATGTTAAAATTAGAAACAGAAACGGAATCAAATACCTTATTAAACAAGCTTAACATAGTTGTGACAGACTGATAAAAATTCTATAGATATAAAACTTAAAGATATAAAATTTCTACAAGACTAAGGAAAAAATAGAAAATGGTAATGGGCACATAAGATTTTAAAGAAAGAGCATAAACTAAATAGAGCGCATCACCTTATAAAAAAAAGTGAAGTAAAAAAATATACTAAGACTGGATCACTTTCAAGTGCTTAATACAGAGGAGGGAACATTTAGTATGTTTTTAACTAATCAAAACAAAACATTTGCACCAAAATCACATAGTAATATAGTATTACTGATAATTCATTACTTATTGCTATTATTTTATTATTTTCTATATTATTTATTTAGATTAGTTTAATTAGATACCTTGATTATACGAAAGCTACATACATACATGACATCTGTTCTAACAGGCTGGTGTGCACATTATTGTGCCAGTCCTTAAAGCTGTTGAGATTTACATTAAAGATAAAGCATTATAAGGTCAATACACAGACCACAGAAGACATTTAGAAAATCAATAAACCAAAAAATTCAAGAAACTTTTGTACTAAATACACCCCTAATTGTCAACTTTGACTCTACCAGATATATTTGGATACCCGACTATTGGTCTTTGCTAAACCTTTCATGAACATTGGTGAGCTTATGGAAAACTCTGTAATTAAAGTGTTTAAAAGATAGAAAGTTGTTTCAGATTGGCTAGCAGATCTATGTTTTGACAGAACAAACTCAAACACTGGTGTTAACACTAGCTCTATCATTCAGCAGGAATATGACAAATCTTTACCGTTTTTAACCTGCAGATGGCATGTCTTATAACTATTTTGGCTGTTGGTTCCAAAAAACATTCAAAATTGATTGACATTTCCCAATACAGTCTAATTGAGACTCCATTGAATACAAATCTGAACATACAGTTGCTGAATTAATATGGCTAAACCAAATGAAATTTATTTTTTCAGAACTCCATAGGAATCAACTTTTTAAAAACATTCAATCACAAAAGATAAATAGAACTCTATAATTCTTATGCGACAATTTATAAAGTTTTAAATTTTTTTTTGAAAAGTTTATTAAAATGTAGCAGAGATTTAAGGGTTTTTAAAAAACTTAAATTATTTAATAAAAAATTTAAATTTTTAAATTGATTAAAACTCTGATAACTGTTATAAGAATTGCAATAAAAAAAAGATATTTAATTCCAGAGTATTTGTTGCTAAGATTATTCAAAGTAACAAATTGTTAATAAAACTTACGTGAGCATGTATTTCCATTTCCAGTGAAGCCATTATTACAGACACATTGTTGAGCACCATTAACAGTTAAACATTGAGCATTTGCGCTACATGTACTACATATATCAACTGAAATTTAAAATAATATATAAAACATTAAAGCAAATCATAAAAAAATTTTACAAAATAATTTTTAAAAAATATTTAGCAAATTTAATATAAATTATTTTACATAATAAATTTACATAATTTTACATTACAAAAAATTTATAATACCACTATTTAAAAAAAAATTAAGTATTGGTTATATTGCTTTAAAATAAGCTAAACAAAAAAAATAAAAATAAAATAAACAAAAAAAAGGTTTTCTAATATATTTTAAAGACTATTTTATATTTGATATTAGTTAAGTAAGTTATTAGTTAAATAAGTAACAAGTTATTAGTAAAAAAAATGAAACTATTTTAAACATTATTTACTGACAACTATTTTAACAATGAATAATTTTATTTTTATTTCGAGTAGCAAACTTACACGTGCATGTAATTCCATTACCAATATAGCCATTATTACAGACACATTGTTGAACACCATTAACAGTTAAACATTGAGCATTAGCATTACAGTTATTACAAACGCTAGGTACAGCTTAAGAAAATATAATAAAAAAATAGATAAAAGATATAATCTTTGAGTATTAGTAACATAATAGTTTGCATTACTTTAACAGAAAATAATAGTTTGAATTACTTTATCAAAACATTGTTTACATTCACATTATCATTAAAATATAATTACCAAAATATTAAATACACAGAGTTATACAATATGTTAAGTAAAATTAATTTTGAAAAGATATTTAGGTGTTATAAAGTTTATAAACTTTCCGTAATATCTTTATAAAATAGATATACCGCATTTGTAATTAGATAAACAATATTTTGAAAGGAAACTATTTATAAACAAAAGTTATATTTTACCAAAAAATTTTTTTGAGAATACATTCTTCATATATATATATATATATATATATATATATATATATATATATATATATATATATATATATATATATATATATATATATATATATATATATATATATATATATATATATATATATATATATATATATATATATATATATATATATATATATATATATATATATATATATATATATATATATATATATATATATATATATATATATATATATATATATATATATATATATATATATATATATGGCAGCAATAAGTTTACGTTGTATGTTTAACTAAAAGCAGTTATTACTTTTTTAGCATACTTTCTACTTTGAAGCATGTAAAATTTCTTTTGTTAAATTACTATTAATATTTCTGTCTTTATATGTAAGATGTAATATCATTTTGTAATATAATCATTTAATATAAGGTTTTTTTTTTACAAGAAAGTATAAGAAAATAAATGCTAAACTCTGATATGAACAGCAGGTTTAACTCAATCTAGGGTTTTTCACAAAAAGGTTTGTCTTTGTGTGGCCACTTGAAGATAAACATTCTTATAAAGAGTAACTTTTGCAATTGACAGTGTGAAAATTTTAATTTGTAAATTCTCGATTTAGTTTGGCGGACTTGTACACAACACACTCCCTATGAAATATTATTAATCGTGACCAAAACTGTCCCAATTCTCACGGTCAATTAATAAATGTATATTTTGTTGTGTTAATCCCTATTTATTAGTCAAAGCATTTAAATTTAATTCTATTCATCACTTATGATCAATTGAAGTAATTACACTTAAATCAATTAAATTAATTAATTTTACTAGGTCAGTAAAATATGATTTTCAATAAAACGTGTTTTAAACCTAAAGGGGTATGTCGTGTTCAGCCTTTAGTTTTATATATAAGTCTGGTCATTTATATAAATCTTGCTCCTTGTTTGATGAATTTACTCATGCTTGCCAATTTTCAGAGTAAGTAAATATAAAATTAATAAGAAAGGCAGGTTTAGAATTTTGTTTTTTGTTACTTTAAAAACAACATGTTTTCGCTTTTTTTTACTGTTGACATCACGTGATATAATATTCAAAACTTGATTGGTTTTCGCTTATAGGGATACGCAAAAAGTCAAAATGAATCCGACTTTTTTTTTCGCTTCAGCGAAACACAGTAGCGAAAAAAAATCAAAAAAAAATTTTGAAAAATTTTGATTCAAAATATTATTATACATACTTTTTACTAAAAATTCTAAAGTTTTTTTTAAAAATTTTGAATCTATTAGATTCAAAATTTTAAAAAAAATTTTTGTGTAAGTTTGAGGGGAGGGGGCTTTTGCCCTACGCACCCTCCCCTTGCTCCTAATCCAGTTTGTGGGTATATATATATATATATATATATATATATATATATATATATATATATATATATATATATATATATATATATATATATATATATATATATATATATATATATATATATATATATAATAACTGTAATATACCTTGATCTTATAATCATAATAAAACTATCAAATATTGAAAAAAAAAAAAAAGGGGAAGAGCCGTAGCCCTTTTTACGCACTCTGGATCTAGAATCCTGGAAGTGAAATAATAACTATATCTGTTTTATTTCACATAGTTTACTTTTTACCTAATACAATTGTAATTTTTAGTATTAATTGACTAAAACCTTTCCAAAATTAAGCTTTAGTTAAAATAGACTAATTTTTGAAAAAAAAACCTAATTTTAAAACCCGTTTCCCGGTAGCTAGACATCAATATTTTGTAAAAATATTATTATATTTGAATTTCCTATACCCAAATACATAGGAATCCAAGCGTGCTAGTCAAAATTCTAAAAATTTAATTTTTGGCTCTTGTATGATATACCCTAATGACTATATCTGGCTAAAATATTGTAAGTCTGCTTTATATAAATAATATCACATATTACCCCTAATTAATACAAAAACTGCTTTATATAAATAATACACATATATACCCCTAATTAATACAAAAACACCCCATATTGTCCCAAGCATGGGGCAAAAAAGAGTATATCTGTATTTTTTACTAAAGTTCAAAAATTTTAAATAAATTTCTTATATATTGTGCCCATATATATAAGTTCTTATATATTGTGCCCATATATATTATATAAGTGCCCATTTTTACCCAGTTTTTCTGACATATAAAGTGTATATAATATATACATACATGGTGTGCATGTAATTCCATCACCAGAATAACCATTCAAACAAGTACATTGTTGAACACCATTTACAGACACACATTGCGCATTTGTACCACAGGTTCTTCCAACTACACCACATCCAACTACATATAAATAAATATATATATATATATATATATATATATATATATATATATATATATATATATATATATACACTAACATACACTATAGCATATATATATATATATATATATATATATATATATATATATATATATATATATCAGTAATTGCTTATTAGTTTTGCTTATCTTTATAGCATATGGCTTTTTTCAAAAAATGAAGAATAATGAAAGAAAAAATTGCTACCCTATCCCAAACCCTCAGTCAATGTAGTGACACTCCTTTGTGGCAGTAGTCTATAAGAAAGTTGATTTAGATGCTGAAGCCCCACACAGCAGTCTATTTCAGTGTGATGTCACAGTGCTTATCTAAACTCGTATATATATATATATATATATATATATATATATATATATATATATATATATATATATATATACACACACAAACATATATATATATATATATATATATATATATATATATATATATATATATATATATATATATATATATATATATATATATATATATATATATATATATATATACATATACAGTGCTGGCCAAAAAGATCCGACCACTAAGGTTTTTAGACAGAAACGTAATACCACTTCAATTTAATGATAATATGATTGAATTAAACGCAACAAACAACATTCACATAAGTCAGTGACACACTTTCGAAGAAACCAACAAGTAGTTCACATCAGAAAAGAGTTTCTAGTACCTCGAATGTCTTCCTCCGGCTTTGAGGACAGCTTCTATTCTTCGAGGCATAGAGGCAACAAGAGAGTCACAGTAATCAGGCGTTATTTTTTGGGACCACGCCTCCAGTATAGCCTCCTTCAAAGTTGTCGCAGACGTCGAGTTTGCTTTTGCCACTTCTGCTTTCAATTTTACCCAGCAATTTTCAATCGGGTTTAAATCCGGTGACGAGCCAGGCCACGGAGCAAGAACATTGATGGAATTCTCTTGAAACCATGTCTTGACGATCTTTGCCTGATGACATGGCGCGCCGTCATGCATAAAGATGTCACAGTTGCGAGTTCTGAGCCAAATAGGAACATTTTCCTTTATTATTTGCAAATAATTAACAGCTTTGATAGTTTCACCTGGCGGCATGAGATAGATTCCCGCTCGACCTCTGGCAGTATGTGGTACATCTCGGTCTGCCACTGGATCTTCCTGCAGCGCTGGTGCCTGTTGACTTGATGTGCTGAATGACGTCGTGAACAGTTGTCTTAGGCATTTGTAAACGTGCGGCAATCGCACGTTCAGACTTCCCGTCTTCCATCAAAAGTTGTATTTTAGCACGTTTTCCAGGTGATGTTGTCGCCATAGTCAAATGCAAATAGTAATTCACAGCTACGCATGCGATGGTATATATAACAATGGTACAACTGTTTTGATTGGCTGATAACTAGCCAATCACGCATGCAAAGCGTGATGGTGAAATTCCGAGGAAAGCGCCTACACTACAATGTACATACTGTATACATAGATAAACAATGCGTGGTCGGATCTTTTTGGCCAGCACTGTATAACAATCCTCAGAATTATGGTCAGCTTAACTGCCAAACTAAAAGCGTTTGAGGTCGGCAAAAAATTGCCGACCTTGTTTTTAGGTTTTATGATAACCCCTTTGTATCAACTTTTTTTTGCCAACCTGATACCGACCTCAAACAGTTTGAGGTCGGCAATTTATTGTTAGAGTGTATCTGACACAAAAGTTTTTTGATGTTTCTGCAATTTATTGCCAAAACATCAAGAAACTTTTGTGCTAAATACAATTGTCCACTGACTCCAATTGCTCACTGACTCTACCAGATACATTTAAAAACCTGACTATTGGTCTTTGCTAAACCTTTCATGAACATAGGTGAGATTACAAAAAACTTGGTAGTTAAAGTATTAAAAGGATGGAAAGTTGCTCCAGATTGGCTGGTAGGTTTGTTTCGACAGAACAAGTTTGCCAATGTAGATATTGACACTATTACTATCATTCAGCAGGAATAAAACAAATCTTTACTGTTTTTAGCCTGCAGATGTCATGTCTTTAAACTATTTAGGCTGGTGGTTCCAAGAACATTCAAAACTTATTGATACTTCCCTATACAGTCTAATTAAGACTCCATTGAATTCAAATGTGAATTTACAGTTGCTAAATTAATACGGCTAAACCAGATATAAAAAATTCTTCAGAACTACATAGAAATCAACTCTTTAAAAACATTTAATCACAAAAGACAAGTAGAACTCTATAATTCTCATGCAACTATTTATAGCAAAGTTTTAAAATATTTTTGAAAAGTTTAAAAAAATGAAGGAAATATTCAAGGATTTTTAAACTATTTAATATGAAATAAAACTTTTATAACTGTTATAAAAATTGCAATAAAAAAAGATTTAATGTTTAATTCTAAAGTTTTTTTTACTATGATTATTCAATTTAAGTAACAAATTTTTAATAAAAACTTACGTGAGCATATTTTTCCATCACCAGTGAAACCATTATTACAGACACATTGTTGAGCACCATTAACAGTTAAACATTGAGCATTTGCGCTACATGTACTACATATATCAACTAAAATTAAAAATAATATATAAAACTTTAAAGCAAATCATAAAAAGGTTTTACTAAATAATCTAAATGATTTATTTAGATTGAATTTGTTTAAAATAACAAAATATGTTAAATTTAAATAATTTTACATTACAATAAATTTATAAAACTAATAATACTAATTTATATTCCAAAATAAAAATTAAGTATTGGTTATATTAGTTAAAAATAAGTTAATAACTCAACAAAAAACAAAAAGATTAAATAAGTTATTAGTTAATTAACTAATAAGTTATATTATTAGTAAAAAAAAAATGGAATTACTTTAAACATTTTTTACTGACAACTATTTTTACAATGAGTAATTTTATTTTTATTTCACGTAGCAGACTTACGTGTGCATATATTTCCATTTCCAATATAGCCATTATTACAGACGCATTGAAAAGCACCATTAACATTTAAGCATTGAGCATTAGCGCTACATGAAGTACATACTGTTGGAGCTGAAAATAATATATACAAATTTTATAGTAAAATAAAATAGAAAAAATAATATTTAATATTATCTGGTACAATGTTATAATCTGTGAAAACATTTATTTAACAAATGCAATATAATTGATTTTACAAAAACATGTTAATTTACATAATTTTGTATTTCAATAATAGAGGCAAAATCAACACAATTCAAAAACACAAATCAAGGAGTAAAAGTAAGTATATAGGGTTGTCTGGAAAACAAGTCACAAAGTTGACTACCTGACTAAGAGATTAAGAAATGCTGAAGCTTTGTGCTTTAGTACCAGTTGATTTTACAATATGTTAAACTTACACATTTTTATATTAGAATAAATTTATATATCAGTATTCCAAAAAAAAAGAAATTGGATAATCTAAAAACAAGTTAAAAATTCTCAAAAAAACTCAAAAAAATTTAAAATGTTTTAAAAATCAAGATATTAAGTTATTAGTTAATCAACTAATAAGTTGAGTTATTAGTAAAAAAACACAAAAACATTTATAAAATTTTTTGCTCAAAAATATTTTCACATAGTGTAAAATCTTATTTTTATTTTGAGTTGCAAACTTACGCCAGCATGTTTTTCTATCATAGTCATGCTTTTATTATAGTATAGACATTAATATTATAACATAACAGTTAAACATTGAGCATTAACATTAACATTACAGTTATAACAAGAGTTAACTAAAGTTTGAAAAATCATTTTTATATATAAATACATTTATATATTAGAATAAAATAAAGCCTATATTAGATATAACTTTGGAATATTTGTAAACATACTTACTTTATAGTTTTTTATTTGAAGCTTTAAGATTGGAGTTTTAAGAGTTAAACATTGCACCATAAAAAGTTCAATTTTTTATATAAATTTTTTATTTAAATATATACCATACTAAATGTACTGAATTTTTTTATTTATAAATTTTTTTTTTATTTCTACCATAATATAATATTATAATGATAATAATGATGATAATAATGATGATAGTGACGACAATGATGATGGATGATGCCGGAAATACTAAAAGAAAAAAAATTACAAATGCATACAAATTCAAGATTTTAACTATAATGGTAAATAACTAAAAATCTTGAATGAAATTTAAAAAAAAGGTTAACAAATATATAACAGCATATGTATTAAAGTTGGTCGAAAATTCAGTTAGAAAAAAATTTATGTTTTAAACTTTGAACCAAGCTATAAAACTTTAATTTTATATTCACTTTTTTTTCCGATTAAATACAATGCTTGTTTGAAGTTTGGTAGCAGAGCTAATTTTTAACAATTGTGAGTGACAATTGTTAAAAATTAGCTCTTAAATATAAATTTAAAGAAAAATGAAGCAACCAAAATATTTGCTTCAACTTCAGCTGTTTTGGTGGTATTAAGCAATATCTTTCCCAAGAAAATATTTGTATTTGTATGTAATTCATCACACATATTGTATTACATTGCTTACATTTATATAACAAACTGCATGTGTATTAAACCTTTCTTTGCATTGATAAAAATATTACAAAATGATAATAAAAAAGCATTTTCTTCTTGCCAAATAAAAATTATAGAATAAAATTAAGTATTGCAAATATAATAAAATAAATCAATAACTAAAAAAATTAACCTTTAGAATTTGTGATACTATTCTAATGAATAGTTTCTTAAATGGAAATCCTCAATATTTGTCAGATAGAAACAGATAATTCGACTACTTAAAAAGTATTCAACAACTGTAGCACAAGAAATTTAGAAGAAAAAAACTTAATGTCCAGCTTTTTATAAACAGCTCGTTAATAAACATTTTTATTTGATAGCCTTGTTGTGAGTAAATAACATGATAGAACTCTGAGTAAACTTGTATTTAACAAAAAAAAAATTAATTTCTAACTTACTACATGTGTATCCATCCCCAGTAAAGCCAGATAAACAAACACATTGCTGAATGTTATTATTAGTTACACATTGAGCATTTGCACCACATGTACCACATGACCCTTGAAAAGAAAAAGACTAGTTATAATAAAAATTAAAACAGAAATATAACTTATATTGATAAAAAAAACAAAAAAAAAACACCTGATCCATAAACACTCAAATCATCAATGGCTACATTTGCTTGAAACTTATATGGAGTACAACCAACAACAAATTGAATTGTCTAAACAAAAGATTTATATATATCAGGGCTTGAAATAATGCAAAAAAATCTAATTGTGGGAAAAAAAAAAAAAAAATTTCGGATTTTTTTGCATTATTTTTTAATTATGAAATATTATATTGCGTTATAATTTAAAGTTTAAGCTACAGTTGCAATGAAATGAGCAAGTAATGAGCATTAGTGAATATATATGAAAAAATGAGCTTTACAAATATCTGGGAAAGTTGTTGAGATTATCAAATAATTTCTTGCTAACCGCTTTATTCAAGTCATCCTCAAATGACAACACTATTCTTTATTTCCAGTAACTTCTGGGGTACCTCAGGGTTCTATCCTTGGTAGTGTTTTGTTTCTTACCTACATTATTGATCTTTCCGACAACCTTACACCTGAAGTAGCTTTTTTTGCTGATGACTCAACATTATACTCCTTTCTTGACAAAATTCTTCTCTTTTTAAATCACTTAGAACAGGCACCCAATCTTAAATCTAATCTCACTTCTATAACAGATTGGGGCTCACAGTGGCTTGTATATTTAACTCCAACTAAACTCAGTTATTTACTTCAAACAACTATCGCAGTACTGTCAACATTTCTATATTAATAAACAGCAATCCACTCCTCTTTACTCCTCTTGGATTATTATTTATTAATGACCTTTCATGTAAATCATATATACAATTGATTGCTAAAATAGCATCCTCTAAGGTTGCTTCTCTTTATCATGTTCGCCATTTTTATACTCTTGATTCCATACTTTACCTCTACAAATCTTTTATTCATTCCTGTATGGATTACTTTTATCATATTTAGATTGGTTCTTTTAATGATACTCTTTCTCTTCTAGACAAGGTCCAAAAATGCCTTGTAAACGTAGTTGGGCTATCTGCTAAGCTTAGCCTTTTTCCCATCATCGTAAAGTTGCATCTCTTTCTCTTTTCTACAAATACTATCATAGTCGCAGCTCAAAGGAGTTATCATTTCTACTTCCATCAACTAAAACTCATGCTTGCTTGACTTGCATTCTTAAGTCTCATTCATTTACTGTACCTGTGCCTGCATATTCTAAAAACTTTTATTCATTTAGTTTCTGGCATATTCAACCCTTTGACACTCTCTCCCATTTTCATTTTTTCCTGACTCATACAATCTTCAACTCTTTAAATCTTCTGTCAGGAGTTTACTTGCTCTATAACTCCTTTTCTTTTCCTTGTAACTCCTAACTTAATATTGGTTGCATGCAGGCTTATTGGGATTGAATCAGTAATAAAATATATATATACAAAAAAATATAAATATATTTATTTGTATATATATATATATATATATATATATATATATATATATATTAAATATAACTCTAAAAATGTATAGATTATTATTTAAACTTTTTTGAGGTGTGTTCTAGGTTAAGCCAGATGAGCAGTTGCTCACTATGATGTTTATTCTCTCAATTAATTTTTTTTTTTATAGATAATTAGTCTAATCTTTAGTTTAATCTAATATTTAGTAAAATAAATCTAATTGTACTTTTCTAATATTCAAGCATAAAATACAGCTAAGTACTAATTTGTGATATAAAAAATTAAAATATAATAAAAATATCACAAAATCTTTTTTATTTTTGTGTGATATTTTAATTGTATTTTATTTTAAGTTTGATGTCTTTTGTATTTTATTTTACGATCTGAGCTAATCAGACTAATATATCACATAAATAAATGAAAAATTAGTATTTAGCTGTATTTTATATTTTATATATTAAATAAATCATCAAGTACTATAAGAAATTTTAAAATAATTGTAAGTTATAGTTACTCATAGTTTATTTATAGATGGACACTTGACACATGTTAGCTATTGGGTAATACTTATAACAAAACAAATATTGTTACTTTGCTAACCTGCTCATTAATTACACATTCTGCAGCCACTATATGTTAGTGCTTAATAATATGTCAAAAGAGTTTCAAAATATTATAATATTTTAATGCAGAGACAAAAGTCATAAAATTCATGTTTATTGATATGTCAAAAGAATTTGATGCAAAATATTTTATTACTTTGATGCAGAGAAAAAAATCATCAAATTTATCAAAATAATAATTTAGTCAACTGTATACAAAACTTTTAACCTCTGGTAAAGTTTTGAATCCAAAGTTACAAGATTTCAAAATACTGGTTTGTTTTCACTTGACACTAAAAAGTTGATGTAGTTAATTATGAATCTACACCAATTAATGTCATATAGACAAATTTATTGGTGTATATAAGACATATAATCAAAAAATATGTCATATAGCACCAGCTCTAAAGTTAACTTCAAAGACAATTCATCTGCAAATAACATTCAATGTTGTAGTAACTTGAGGGGAAAAAAGGAAATTCAAAAAGGAGTTAAAAAACATACCCAATTATATATTACCAATTGCTTGACCTAGGTTCGTAACAAATATTTCACATTCAACACATTGACAAATGAAAAAATGCAAGCATGTCAACATTTGAAGAGAGTGTATCTCAATAAACTATAAATAATTAAGAGATTAAAAGATGCTGACAGCAAAAAAACAGTGACGCAAGCTTGATAATAAAGCTAAAGTTGGAAAATGAGAAGCAAATAAATTAAGCAACGACAACAACAATAACTTCAAAAACAGCAAATCCAACAACAACAACTTAAACAACACGGAGTCCAACAAAAATGACTTCAACAACAGTGACTTTAATAACAGAAATATGTCAATTGTGTCATTTTTATTGCACCAAAAAGTGAAAAATCAACTTCTAGAATCTCTCAAAAACTTAAATTCATTACAAAAATAAAAAAAGTATTTAGTTATTTCATTTGATCCTATTTTACTTTAAAATTCTTTAGTTTTATACAAATTATTATAAAATAAAAGATAAAAAAGCTAAAGGCAAAAGATTAAAGTTAAAGACAAATCATTTAACTTAAAGATAGTCTAAATCACTTGATTTAAGATTATGCAATTTATACTTGACTTAAGTTTATGCAAATCATTTGATTTAGGATAATATGAAACATTTTACAACTTAATAATTTTGTTTTTAACATGATTATGCCATTACATTGATTAAATTATTATCATGATACTGTTAAATATATTTACAAAAGTAAACAAATATTTTTTCTATGGAAAAAAAAGCCATAAATAAAAGAGCTAAATATAAAATAGCATAAAATAAAAACAACATAAAAACATTTTTTTTTTTTTACCATTACTGTTGATGTGAATGTATATGTTTTGTCAACGACTGTCCAAGGAGCATCTGAACTTGCTTGTAATTGACCACTAAGTACTTGATCATCTCTCAAAAGCCCCATATTAGCATTAAAAAAGCGAATATCTGTAAATGTATATTTATAATGTTCAAAACTTTTAAATAAATTCTCTTAAAATTTGATTACTATATATTTTTTAAATAAACTTTAAATAAAAATTCATGATAAACTCAACTTACTAAAAGATTGAATATCAGATCCATATGCATGAAGGGCAAATTTAAGGCGTAAGGATGTTGCACTCGAAGAAAGTGTAAGAGTTAAAGGTAAGTTTGAACTGTTAATGTTATTAGGTAAAGAGGATAAAAAGAAAAGAAAGAAGGTGCCATCTAAAAAAATTCAGTGTGATTATCATAATTTTAATAATGGTAATTTAAATTAAATAAGATAATAAATATAAAACAATAACAGAACTAGGAGTAAAAATAGTACCATAATACTATGCATTATAATTCAAAAACAATAAAACACTAATAAAATTACTAAATAAAAATAGAATAGTAATTTTACTAATAATACGAAACCTTATTTATTATTGTAATAAAATAAAACCTACTATAGGCAAAGGATGGTCCAGTATTTTGTGATGGTGTTTTCTTATTAGTTCTTTGCCAAGCATTTGCATTAGTTAAGGGTTGGAGTGCTGTGTCCAAACTACAAGTATCAGTTTCAAACCCACAATAAAATAACAAACGCTCTTGGCCTAAAAACAATTTGAATTGAATTCGTTACATTTCATACACATATTTTTTTCAATCTTAATTCGCAAATCTGTTGTGGTTACAACATTCTTTCAACTTGAAATGCGATCCTTGACGAACAAGGATGAGCGCGATTCTACCAGGGCACTATCCGGACGGGCATTTGTTTTTAAAAGTTACGTTCTAAATGTGTTTTAAAAGTCTTTTAAACGTCTTTTAAACATTAATGTTTAAAAGACGTTTAAAAGACATTTAAAATACATTTAGATCGTAACTTTAAAAAAAAAATCCCCGTCGGGATGCGTCGCTTTAATACAAAAATGAGGAAATAAGCTCAAAGAAAAATTCAACATATCGAACTGATTTTTTCAAAAAAACATCGAATTTTCGTTTATATTTCTATATTTAAAAGAAAAATAGTCGATTTTTATAAAAAACAACTTATTGTATTTATTCATAGTTCATCCGGACTAAATCATGACTCATCAAAAACACAGAAGTCCGGATAATGTTATTCAAAAAACAGTAAACGCCGATACTTTATATTTTACCATGAATTATATCATGGAAGTATAAAACAGATCTGTTTTATACTTCCATGATTATATATAGAATATAAACCAAACCTAGATTTCTCTGCGCCTACGGCCAGCCGCAGCCGCAGTCTACGGCTAGCTTTTGTTAATCTATTAATATACAAAACTGTCTAAAAACTGGGTGATGTAATTTATAGACGATCCCTTATACTAAATGACAACTCCTCTATTTCACTTTTTTATTTAAGTCAGAAATAAAAAAAGGCATTTTTGAATTACAATCTTAATATACCAACATAGCTAGCTATAGAAATAAAATAAAAAAGAAACGAATGTTCCTTATTTATAAAAGTTTTCATTTTTAAATTTTAAAATTAACTATTTTCTTTAAGAGATTTTATGCAATTTGGCAAATGCGCATTTTTATATCAGGCTTTATTATAATTCAAATAGTATTTTTCAATTAAAAAAATTAATTGAAAGATATAGTGCTAAATGTACTCAAAGAAACTTTCGGAATTTTGATCAAATAAGTAACACTTCAAAATACAGATTTGAAATGACTGATTAAAATAAAGATGAAATTAAAACTGCTTTTTTTTTTGTTAGTTTTTTTACTTTATGTTATTATTATTATTTTATTTTTTTTGGACACTTTTCGCTTTCAATTTAACATGATAATTGAAAGTAGCACGAAAAAAAAAAATCTTTCAATTTTGAGCGAAATTATTTTAAATTTCAACCCAAAATTTGTAACTTCAGTTCATACTTTTGCAACTTCTTAACTAAATTGAGTCTGCAAGTTGTAGAAGTTAAGAGGTGCAACACCTAAAACTCGCATAAATCTTAATATCTCACCTGCAAAAAACTAGCAAATACGTTATATAAAAATGATTTAAATAACATATTATAGCATAAAAAAATTGAAAAGTTTATACCTGCTACAAGACTCAATAAGACAACAAATGTGGCTGTTGCTAACATTTTCTTTTTCAACACTAAAACATACAAAGCTTTGAAAAGCTAAAGCTGTTTCTTTAAAGAACTTTTTTTTATTTCGAGAAGGACAACCCTTTTTATTATGGAGCTTTTTAGTCTAGACAGATTTTTTAAAAACTAAAGAGTATTCTTCTAAATTTACAATTACAATGTTTTTTTGACTTAATTTGAAACATATTGAAATTTTATTTAATCTTGTCTTCAGTTAAATACAATATAAAATCATTATTGCGCATGTCTAACATATCATTAAAAGATAATTTAATGTTTAGTAATCATTCTATAGAGAAGGGCTTATCATTGATTATGTGAATAAATGCTAAAAGATTAACGGGAGAGAATAGGTTTAGAGGGTAAGGGATCGTTCATAAACTACGTAACGCAAACTTTCACGATAAACAAAACCAAAAAAATTAAAAAGTTTTCCCTCATTTAAATAAAAAATCAAAGTAACCCATTATGTTTAATAAAAATCGCCGCATAAAAGTGCTTTATATCTCCTACTTTTGTTTTTTAAATATATTTTGCGTTGCGTAATTTATGGACTATCCCTAATGCAAAACATTGCAAAACTATCACCAAATTTAAAAAAACACATCTAAAAATCAAAGCAGTGGGTTTAGCTGGGATTCGGGCTATTGTAATTGTAATGAAAACGATTACAGAAACAATAACTTTTGTTATTGTATTAACTTTTTTTGAAACAATAGCAATACATGTGATTTACAATTATTTTAATACTGCAATACAATAACAATAAATATTGTATTGCAATTCATCTTCATAATACAATAACAATAAGTTATATATTTGTATGATTTTGAATGAATATTATTAATGTTAATTCTAAATAAATTATTATTTAAACACTTATATTATTGAACTTAGAATAAATAAAATTTATATATGTAAACGGTTGCTAAAAACGGGCCCCCCTGAACTTTATATTAATTAAGTATACGTAATACATATACTTCTTTGGCTTTACTTCACTTCTCAAAATAAATAAAAATTTTATATATAAATGACGAGCGTCTCGGGCACTTCTGAATTTTTTAGTGCCCAAATAATAATAAATGCGCGGAAAAAGAATCTAAATACTTTAAAATACAATAGCTATTAGACTTTGAAATAGTAATACAATACACAGTGGCGGATTTAGGTTTAGTGTCGCTGGGGGGGGGGGGCAAGTCAATAAATAGGGGCGACCGGGGTTGTCTTCAGTAATTTGATCTTATAATTTTTTTTTTGATTGTTTTAGGGGGCGCCGTTAGACCATTCTAGGGGGCGTGGGGGGCAGCTTGCCCCCTCCCCTCAAGCCCTATACTAAATCCGCCACTGACAATACACCACAATACTTTTTGTAATTATTTTTTATACCGGCAATACAATTCAAAAGTTATTGTAATTGTTTTACATCACAGTAATACAATACAATAGTTTTAGAACTTCAATGTATTGTTAGAAAAAAACAATACACTAGTTATTGTAACTGTTTTTAATCACAGCAAAACAATAACAATAAATAATGTTTTAATTACATCTCTAGTATTACAATACAATATGATTGTATTGTAATTGTATTTAATTTTTACAATAACAATTCCATTAGTTCGAACCCTACGTTTAACTAAAGATTTGAATTAATTTTTTATATGTAAAATAAAGTTGGTGTCTAATTGCTTCACCTAAGTGCTTTTTAGCTACAGTATGGTTTTCATTGGTTTTCCATCGGTTCCCCTGGGTTTTTCATTAATTCATACCTTTCGTTAAGTATTTTTGTCAATAAAAAAATAGTTTGCACATCAAAAAAAATTATTTTCTTTTTTATATTAATAAAAACTCGTTCAAAACGTGAGTTACAAATTGGTTGCTTAAAAATTGTTTAAATGTTCACAAATAAAAAAAAACGATTTTTATCGTTTTCTTCATTCTCCATAATGTTTATGAAAAAACTGGTAACGGAAATTTTTTAACAACAACATAATAACTAATTAGAATTCTAACTTAAAGTTTTAAGATAATTACAATTATAAAACTAAATTTATAAAAATTTTAATTTCATAACTTTTTTAAATGGCACGTGACCACACATTCCCACAAGTATATATTATTAATGCGTTTCATTTATTAAAATTGCTGACCAATTGGAATACGTTTAACAACTTTATTTAAACGGTAAAGATAAAAATCTTTCTATAAATTGTTTTAATCTGTTCAAATATTTTAGTTCGATACAAAATTATAATCCATGTTTTATGAAATAGATCTCATTCATGACAACAATTAGAAGTTAAATTACTTAGTCGATTCTTGGTCTTTATACCTGAAAAAAACCTTCTCAAGTATTGTCTAAAAATATCTAAGAAAAATAATTGTAACAAAGTTGAATGCTAGATAAATAAAAACCTGACGCCAAAATCTGGTATTTTTAAACGAGATACTAAATCACTCTAATTGTAAAAAACTATATATAATAACTAATAAGAATTCTAACTTAAAGTTTTAAGATAATTACAATTATAAAACTAAATTTATAAAAATTTTAATTTCATAACTTTTTTAAATGGCACGTGACCACACATTCCCACAAGTATATATTATTAATGCGTTTCATTTATTAAAATTGCTGACCAATTGGAATACGTTTAACAACTTTATTTAAACGGTAAAGATAAAAATCTTTCTATAAATTGTTTTAATCTGTTCAAATATTTTAGTTCGATACAAAATTATAATCCATGTTTTATGAAATAGATCTCATTCATGACAACAATTAGAAGTTAAATTACTTAGTCGATTCTTGTTCTTTATACCTGAAAAAAACCTTCTCAAGTATTGTCTAAAAATATCTAAGAAAAATAATTGTAACAAAGTTGAATGCTAGGTAAATAAAAACCTGACGCCAAAATCTGGTATTTTTAAACGAGATACTAAATCACTCTAATTGTAAAAAACTTTATAAAAATGCAGTTAGAGTTTTTAACACTTTTTTGTTGTTGTTGTTTTGCATGAAAAAAAACAGTTGTGCTTTGAAAACTTCTACTAGACTATTAATCATTTAACTAGTTGACTATTAATCGCGTAGTTTTTAGAGTGCGACTGGTTTTGGTTTCTTATATATATATATATATATATATATATATATATATATATATATATATATATATATATATATATATATATATATATATATATATATATATATATATATATATATATTATATATATGTATATATATATATATATATATATATATATATATATATATATATATATATATATATATATATATATATATATATATATATATATATATATATGTATGTATGTATATTGTATTTTTTGTGACAGTCCTATTGGTTGAGTCGATTTGTATCTATTAAATATATTTATCTATATCAATATCAATTATTTTATTATTTACATTTCAAACAATTTATCTACAACAATCAAATACTTTAAAGTGGTTTTAAAAATCCTGTTTGAAGCTAGTTTCACTTTCTAATATTCTAACAGTATTTTTGAAGTTTTTTGCGTAATTTCACACAACCTGTCGTTGAAAATCAGTGTCAAGAAACCAAAACCAGTCGCACTCTAAAAACTACGCGATTAATAGTCAACTAGTTAAATGATTAATAGTCTAGTAGAAGTTTTCAAAGCACAACTGTTTTTTTTTCATGCAAAACAACAACAACAACAAAAGTTAGTTCAAAGTACGGTTTCATCTCTAAAGACTTAAAAGGACACAAAATTTCACCAATCAATAGAGCTCACTTATAATGACTTATTACAATTATCATTAAACAATTTTTTAGTTATGTTGCATTTGCAATACCTTTTCACAAATTATGTAGTTAGTTGCCTTTTTTTTTTATATTAGGCTTTTAAAAAAAAATTTACTAGTTTTTTGAAATTTAAATGTTTAGTTTTAAAATTTTTACTTAAATTTTATTGTTATTTATTTTACTTAAAATTTAATACTGTTTTAACCTTAAATTTTACCAAAATTTGTCATATATTTTCTGATCTCTATTAGAGATCTGCAACAAACGTATTTAATTTTCGCTAAACACACTTCTCAAAGAAAAATGTTTCTTTTTTAAATAGGATAAAATTACACTTTCAGTGGGGCAAATGAGGAAAAAAATATTTGAAAAGATTTTCAATTAAAAATCGCAATAAACTCAATAATAAAATTTAAAGAAAGAATTAGATTAAATAAAAGAAGTAAAAACAATATAGACATACAATATAAAATGCTAAAACTTACCTTAAACTCTTTATTTATTTTTCGCTACACCACTCCTTTCGTATATGCGAAGCAGTTTAATGTCTTGTTGATGAAGATTTTATGTTTTAACATGTATTACTCATCGGTCTTCTTTTATGCAAAGAAACTATACAAAATTAATTCTTTATTGTTAATTTATAAATAACAAGATTACGAAGTTATCATTTTGTTTAAGACATACAATGGTGCTTTATTTGCTTTCCAAAGATACCTTTGTGCATATATTAGGATGCCATTATAATTATCATTGATTATATATAACCCCTATCACCCGGTTTTCATTAATTATGTTTTATTAATCATAAAATTATTTTTTTCTTTTGGCATTAAATATAGTAACAATAAAAAAAAATAAAGCTAGAAAAGAAAAAAGAAATAAATAAAAATTGCTTATAAGTTATTAAAACAAATAAAAATAGTTATTTTATTTTTTTACTTAGTTTTTTTAAGGTTTGTACTAAAGTCATGTAGAAACCAGATAAATACCAATACCTTAAAAAAAACCACGGAAACTATAAACTGAAAAAAACACTTGTTATGATAAAATTTTGATAAGGATACCATAATTGTCATTTTATAGATAAAAGGTCGACTGATGCGGAAAATCCTTAAGTAAATTGTTTAAAACAAAAAAAAAAGTTTTTTGTTTTAAACAACTTACTTTTTTTTTTTTTTTTGTAAGGGAATTTTTAAAAACCGCACAACTTTAATAACACAAAAGGAGGTAACGATTAACTAATAATTAACAATGTCATCTCTTAAAGGATATTAACTTAAAGTCTAATAGTGTGAAAATTAGTTCATATGATTCCCTCTAAACATAAACCTGTTTATGAAATATGTCTATTAAAAAAACCTTGAAAAGTTGTTTTTTTATGCAACATTTTACAGTTCGCTAAGTTAAAACCAGTATGAGCTTTAATGAATATAAGAAAACACAAAACTCCTAAAATCTATTTTGAGTTGTATTTTATAGACTATATGTATTTTATAGACAATATGAGAAATAAACCCGAATCTCGCTCTACATTTTTCCAAAAGCAAAATGTTCTAGAATATGCAACTTAAACGCCACTAAAGCCTGGGACCAATTAATGCAATAAAGTTGCATTTTTTTTTTGTTCAATTAATTTAAATACTAATAGCATTAGTTTAATATAAAAGAACAAGAATAAAATTCAAGCATAAAATACATTTTATAAAATAATAAATAAAACTAACTAAAAATCTTAACTTTTTTTTTTAAGTATTGTATTTAAAAAAACAATTTTATAGCACAAGAGTAATTTATCAAAGAGTAATAACTTTTAATTTAGCAGTGTTTTTTAGACATTCATTTACAAAAAGATATTACTTTTGACTCAATTGGTACGTGCTAGTCTTTACCGCATAAAGTTTATTTAAAAACAATTTACATTTCCCTTAAGTTATGAAACAATAGTTCACTAAAGCATAATCCAGATTATTAACAATTTTTACAATTTTTTGAGCTGAGCCCTGCATAGAATAAAAGAAACAATAAAGTTTCAAAAGTACAATTATATCTATTTGATAATGAGGAAAATCTAATGCAACTATAAACAACTGTGTCTTTTTTTTCTTTTTTGCTTCTTTTTCAGCTTTTTAATCTCTTTCACTCTCTACTAGGGATAGTTGCCTTAATTGAAATACTACCTTAATTGAAATACTTGCTTTTTTTCCTATGGAATAAAATGTCATATGGCTTCATTTTATATAGTTAAACGTGTACTTTCTACATTTTTAAAGATTTTGAAAGTTTTTCTCATTAAGAAAAAAACCCATTAATTTAAAGTTTTTTTTTTTTTTTTACAATTGTTTTAATGTGATTGAACCGCGTATTTACATTTTGCTAGCTACAGCCGTAAGTTATACATTTACTCGTGTTTAATACAACAGGGTTTAAAAAGCAAGTGACAATATAAACTTGTTTTATAAGTTACTGCGCGTATGATACTATAATGGCATTAAAAAGCAGCTCAAAACTTTGTTGACCATAACTAAAAAAAAAATTTTCCTCGCTGCTCGCTGAATCAATAAAAAAATCCAGGAGTTATTGAAGAAATATTTTAAAATTTATAATTGCAATCATAAAGGGTTGATGAAGTAGTTCGGACACAATTTTTATTAAAATAGTTGCAGTTAAAAACTTTTAAAGTAGCAACTTATTTAGTAAATTTGATTTGGTAAGTTCCAAAAAAAACATATTAGAGTTTGATTTGGTAAGTTAAACAAAAAAACTTATAATAGATACTTATACTATTATATATATTATTATATATATATTATATATACTTATGTATTTTTGTAGAATTTTATATTATTGTAATCGCAATCTTAACCTTATTTGTTGTAATTTTAACCTTTAGGCTGCTGTGTTTTTAAATAATTAGTTTAATTTGCCAAAATAAAGTAATTTTTATTCGATTTTTGGTCGATGCTACTGTATTTCTTAAAAAGAAATGATACTTGTTAATACACTAATTAATCGGTGTATTAAAACCTATTGCTTTTTTTTTTTAAAAAAAAAAGTAGTTAATACGCTAATTTAATAGTAGTACTTAACAGTCGACTTACGTCATTTTCTAGGCTTTTCTATTTTAAAGTAGTTTCTAGGCTTTTCTATACGCGGTTTTTTTTTTTTTAACAACCCGTATTACGGATGGATGAAAGTTATGCATTCTGGTTAATGTTGTAGTATCCATATATATTTAACTATTGTATTTAAAGTATATTTTTACATATATTTATCTTTATATTTAACCCAACAGAACTTGTAAGTGAAAACTTGAGGCATCATAAAAACTTAAAAACGTACAGCTGCTATGAATTCGTCTGGCTTCAGCCGCTTAAGTATCATAATTTAACAGGTTAAGCAATAACAATAACAGTGTTATTGTGTTTTTAATAGACTGTGCATCATAAACTGTGGTTGGTATCAGAAAAAAGCGTTAAAATAATAGTCTGTTCTTGTACATGAATGGATGAAATGTGTCAAACTCACAATCATGTCGCTGCAACAACCTATAGAGTAAAAGCTGCTGTAAGATAAGGTTTAGAAAACCTCACATGGCTGCTAACTTGAAAATAAGTAACACTTTTTCTTTGGAAAATAAAATGAATCGATGTAATTACTGAAAGTCAAAATGAAGTTAAAATGTTATATGAATATATGGTACTATCAAAAAAGTGTTGTAACCGGTTCTAAAGTTTATGAGGTATTAGCGAATATGAAAAAAATAAAAAAAGCTGTTGTTGGGTATCATAATTTTTGTTCGCTTAACTGAAGAATATTAGCTAACATTTAAAAACTAGAACACTCCAGCCTTGAAATACAGTTGTACCATAGAATTTGAAGTAAACTTTTATTTCTCTAAAACATTCTTATCACAAAAATTAACATGTTCATGCTATGGTAAAAAAATACCAACAACATACTCACTTCGATAAGTGATATTAGATTTATCTTTTAAATTAATTGATACTTCATGTTTAAATGTTATAAAAATATTGTTAAAGGATGCGCTCGTTAAAGTCACGTAAGAAAAGACAAGATTTGCAACTTTAAAAAGATTTTTAAAAGGACTTGGTGTTTCAAAAAACAATATGTAGAAAGCGAGGCAAAAATTTTCAATATTTCTATTAAATGAATAAGTTATATATTTTTTATTACAAAATAAACTGCATTGACTTCCATTGAATTCTGCTTTTATTTTAGTAGTATTCATCTTTAGCAAGCTTTACTGCATTCCGAACTAAGATTACTGAATTCTGAATTATTATTACTGCATTCCGAACTAATATTACTGCATTCCGAATTAATATTACTGCATTCCGAACTAATATTATTGCATTCCGAACTATATAACTTTGAAAGAAATAAGAATGAAAAAAAAATCTATGTTGCTTTCATTTTCTCTTTACTAAATTATTTTTCAAAACCTTATCGTATTCTTTGACATTGAAGTGACGAGTCAGACCATCTTGTCACACCATAAAAATATATTTTCTTCATGTCGGATTACTCAGAATAATTGTAGAAAGGTGCTATTTTTTAGAGATTTAATTTTAGATCGGATATTAGATAATGCTTTATAAGCATTTATTTTAAAGTTTGTTAAGAAGTGATTACTAATATCAATTTAAAAATACCAGTCTCAATTGAAGTTTCTTTTTACTTGATAATAAAACGTTATCAATTGCAGTTGCTATACCTTTTTTTTTAACTTTGCTGGGCCATACAGTGGCGTGGAGCTATGGAGAGATTTTATGGAGAAGTCTAGAAGACTTTCACAAAAAACAATTCATGCAATTTTATAAATTATAATTTTAATGATATAAGCTTATTTTATAGGCGTTTATCTGAGCGTGGTGTTTATGAAATATATTTTATAAGCAAAGGGGCATTCATAAAGTACGAACGTTTAGAACCCTCCTCTTCTTATGTACGCACCTGCATGCTTTCAATAACTCCTTCCCCTCACTGCTTACGTACATATTATTTAATACAAAAGTAATCCCTTACCCCTAAAAATTACCTTCTCCTTTACAAAGTCATAATCTTTTAAAAACTTTAAAAAAAAACTTTTAGTAAGTTCTGCATTAATTTTGCTACATAATATAATATTGACTTTTTAAACTCAAAAAATTCAATGATTTTATTAAAAACAAAAAATAAATCAAGTTGTAGGACAGATGAAATGTTTTATTTAAATATCGTTTCAAAATGTTTGTAAATATTTTTCTTAAATGTTAGGGAATGTTTTTTTTTTTATACGTCAAAGCGTTCAAATTTGTGATACGTTCAAATTAGAGAGAATATAAAAACTGTATTTCTTTGTTAAATAATATAAAAGGTGTTTTATATTTATTTCAATGAATAGAGATTGATACTTGAGATTTGATAACAGAATTCAATCAAGTCAAAACGCATACTTACTTCCCTTAACATAACTTGAAGTCTTTAACATAACTTGAAATTTTTAAATTTTTGAATATAATTTTTTATTAATTTATTTAAAGTATTTTAATTTTACTTTTGAAACTTAAATTTCATGTTTAAAATTTTAATTTAATGTCGGTAGTTAA